ACTTTTTGTATCCGTTTCGACTCAGACAGCAGCTCGCCTATGGTGAAAATTCAGCTTTATCTAAACGTTCTCGAGTCACTGCCTGGTTGAAAATTGTATGTTACCACAGAATACGAGTACTGAAGCAGTTTTTCTGAAACCACGTGCACCATTCAAACTGGCTGCCTTCAACGTTCGCACACTTATGCAGGTCGGACAACAGATAGGGCTGGCTTTGTCTTTGGAAAGTCTTAATATTGACATGTGTTGTCTATCCGAGACCCGTATTCAAGACTCAGGTGAAGTACCACAAATCCGCTCTCCATCTGTAGCTTCAAAAAGCTTGTTTTATGTGCGTTTATCCGGGGACCCAGTGGCATCTTCGTCTGGTCTTGCTGGCGTTCGTGTCTCACTAAGTGCTAGAGCTGAGACAGCACTAATTGATTGGATCCCCACTAACAGTCGGTTATGTGCTGTTAGATTAGAAAGTTCCATCAATGTGAGAAGAAATCGGCGTGAGAAACGATGTCTTCTCGTCATCTCCGCCTATGCTCCGACAGATGGCAGCCCGGATGCAATCAAGGATGAATTTTACCACCAGTTATCTGTTCAGCTCAGCTGGGGCGTCTAGGCACAAAAGAGTCGCCTAGGTGGCTGATGGGGCCTTGTTGGTTGCAGGTCAGATAACGGTGAACATCTACTACAACTGTGAGAAGACTACGACCTGCTCCTGGCTAGCACTAACTATCAGCACAGACATCGCCGATGTACTACCTGGCGTCCTCCCTCTGCATCTCAAGCCTGGACTCAGATTGATCACATCGCGATCAGCTACCGCTGGCGCGGTTGTGTACAAGACTGCCGCTCCTTTTGAAGTACCTATCTGGAATCTGACCACACCCTGGTCTGCGCCAATCTTACCTTACTTTTCAGTGGCCAACGAAGTGACCGCCACCAAAGGATTGATAATAGCAAGTCGGTTTCAACTTCTGTTGCTAGTAAGTATCGAACCGAGCTAGCTTCTAGGCTAGCTACCATTCCACCGAAAAGCATAGATGAGCATTGGTTGCAATTGCACGACGCCATGGCGGGTAAAGTCAGTTGTGGGTTCGTGAAACGTCCCGCTTACAAGCATTGGGTTTCTTCAGGCTCCTTACAACTCATTGAGGCCCGTCAGTCTACTCCGGGTGACCGTTAGTTTGAACACAAACGAAGACTGTTACGTACTGAAATTGGACAAAGCTTGCGTAAGGATCGAGAAGCCTGGTGGTCGGAGCGTGCCAATGAACTGGAAGCAGTAGCTGCATCTGGTAACTACCGGAAGCTCTTCCAACTCATCCGAGCCACTGGCAGCAAGAAGTCTGGTGTGAGCGAAACAATCTGCGAGGATGACGGAACGCCAATCACTAACCTATCGACGTCTTGGACGATGGGCAGAATTTTTCGGAGGGCAGTTCAACTGGCCTGCTGCTCCGGCAACATCGGTCAGACTGTCCTGCCCTCCATGGCCGGTGACGACTGATCCACCAAATGAGGCGGAAGTCCACAAGGAACTCCAACTCTTGAAACGTTACAAATCACCGGGCCCAGACGACTTACCTCCGGCTCTTTATAAAGATGGTGGTGACTTTCTGACTAAGGGACAGACGATGTTGTTTACAAAGGTCTGGGAACTAGAGAGTGCACCGACGTCATGGAATGAGTCGATAGTTGTCCCTATCTTTAAAAAGGGTTCACGTTGTTCCTGTAACAACTATCGGGGGATAAGTCTACTTCCGATTGCGTCCAAACTATTGGCTTCCGTCATACTTCGTAGATTGTTCAAAACCCGAGAAAGATTGACTCGTGAGGAGCAGGCTGGCTTTCGTTCCGGTCGAAGATGTATTGATCATATCTTCACTCTCCGCCAAATGTTAGAACACCGTCATACTTATCAAAGGCCAACAATCGTAGTGTTTCTTGATATCAGGGCTGCCTTCGATTCGTTGGACAGAACTGTTCTCTGGGATTGTCTATTGAAGAAGGGTGTGCCTGAGAAGTTTATTAACATCCTGAAAGCCCTATATACAAACACCTCAGGCAGAGTGAGGGCATACAACCACCTCACTCCATTGTTCCATTCAAGCAGTGGGGTTAGTCAAGGTTGCCCAATCTCACCATTCCTCTTCAACTTTGCCATCGATGACATTCTGGAAACAGCTCTGATGGATGTAAGTAATGGTGGTGTGGATCTGTTGCCTGGAGAAAGACTTCTCGACCTTGAGTATGCGGATGATATTGTCTTACTGTGCGAGAATGTTCAAGCCATGCAATCCGCACTTAATCAGTTGGCAATCAATGTCCGTAGGTATGGTATGTGCTTCGCACCTTCGAAGTGCAAAGTACTTCTACAAGACTGGCAGGATTCTAATCCTGTACTCACTCTGGACGGTGAGCAGATAGAAGTGGTCGAGAAGTTCGTGTATCTAGGTAGCTGCATAAGTGCTGGTGGTGGTGTGAGTGATGAGATCAATGCACGTATAGTGAAAGCCAGAGCGGCTTATGCCAATCTGGGCCACCTTTGGCGCCTTCGTGATGTTAGTCTGGCTGTAAAAGGTCGGATCTACAACGCGTCGGTGAGAGCAGTTTTGTTCTATGTTTGTGAAACCTGGCCTCTCCGAGTTGAGGATGTTAGACGACTCTCTGTGTTCGATCATCGCTGTCTCCGAAGGATTGCTGACATCCAGTGGCAACACCATGTTAGTAATGCAGAGGTCCGGCATCGTGTGTTTGGTCACAGAGACGACAATCCAATTGGTGTCACCATCTTGAAACACTGACTTCGGTGGCTCGGACATGTTCTACGAATGTCGTCCCAGAGAATTCCTCGTCGTGCATTATTTGCCGACTCTGGGACAGGTTGGAAAAAGCGGAGAGGTGGTCAGTATATGACATGTTGTCGTGGTATGAAAGAAAGCTGCAAAGGGCTAGCTTCTGTTGGTCCTTCACGACTCCCTGGTTGAGGTCTGAGAGACGGTGTAACGCAGTGGCTAGAGACGTTATCAGATATGGCTCAGAATAGAGGCCAGTGGCGATCCTGCTGTAACCTTCTTTTACTTCATAAAAAGTGGTTGTATCTTCTTTAACTGAAAGATTTCTTCTGATTGTACCTTTCCGTTTTCCCCATCATTGTTCTCTCCCTCTTTTTTTTATAATTCCCCACGTTCATTACTTTTTTTTTCTCTTTTCTCCTTCTCTTCAAATTATCATTGTTTTGTGTGGCGCATAAATATTTGGTGCCCCCCCTGTGCCAATATTTATGTGTTCAAATAAATAAATAAATAACCTCCAAGCTAGAACTACACGGAGACATGAACACGAGAAAAAAGGTGCGAAATATGCGAGAAACACTTTACTGCAAATGTTCGTTTTACTACAGAAAATATAGGGTTTTTATAGTATTTTAAACGTCCTTGGGTTTCCCGAAAATTCTGGAATGCCCCTCTGTACCAATATTTATGTGTTCAAATAAATAAATAATAATTCCAAACCAATGATGTACATGGTTTCCAGGATCCTAAGGAAACAAATGGTATATGAACCAATCGTTGGGCAACCGGCTATTTTTATTTATTTATTTATTTTAACACATAAGTATAGGTACAGGGAGGCACCAAATACATATGCGCCACACAAATCTCAATTGATTTGTGTGAGGGCTGTGATACTGCCCGGTTGCCCAAACCGAAGCAGGTGGTTTTCTTAGGGGGCCACACCCCGAGCCTTCGACCTGAACGTCTGATTCACAAGGCAGTGGAGCATCGTAAGGTGATGCAGTCCCATGGTAGCCGGTGACCAACGATTGGTTCATACGCCATTCGATCCTTCAGGATACTGGAGCCCATGTGCACCATTGGTTTGGGATCCGGTTAAAGCGCCGGACATTCGCTTTTCGTCCTCTCATTTTTGTAAACAACACCCGCGCCACGAGAAGGCAGTGAGTAGGACTTCCCTGGCAGAGGCTATATACGCATGGCCATGTGAGAGCATTTCGAGAGGGAGAGCAGACTCTCCCAACTCTCGGCCATACCAGGGCATTTGGGGGCGGGCAACCGGCTACCACGGTACTGCCCCCAAATGCTCTGGTACGGCCGTGAGTGGGAAGAGTGCTCTTCCTCTCCAAATGCTCTCATATGACCACGCGTACACAACCACTGCCAAGGAAGTTCTACTCATTGCCTTCTCGTGGCGGGGGTGTTGTTTACGAAATTGAGAGGATGAAAAGCGAATATCCGGCGCTTTAACCGGGTTGGTGGATATGGAGAGTTCACCTAGGGAAGTTGGAAAACCCTGATTCCAAACCAATGGTTTACATGGTCTCTAGTATCCAGAAGGAACAAATGGTGTATGAACCAATCCCTAGTCGTCGGCTACCATGGTAATGTATCTCCTTACGATGCTCCACTGCCTTGTGGAGCAGACCTTCAGGTCGAAGGCTCGGGGTGTGGCCCTCTAAGAAAACCACCTGCTTCGGTTTGGGCACCTGGACAGTATCATAGCCCTCACACATATCAAATGAGATCTGTGTGGCGCATATGTATTTGTTGCCTCCTTGTACCAATATCTATGTGTTAAAATAAATAAATAATAATACCATAGTGCTGCATCTCCTGATGTTGCTCCACTGCCTTGTGGATCAGACCTTCAGGCTGAAGGCTCGGGTTGTGCCCTGTCAAGAAAACCACTTGCTTCTGTTTGAGCACACGGGCAGTACATCTCACACACAAATCAAGTGACCTGTGTAGTGCATGTGTATTCGGTGCCCCCTTTATCAATATATATGTGTTCAAATAAATAAAATTAATTAATAAATTAGTTCATCAACCTGTACATAGTTATCGGCCTAAGCTCATTCAGTGCTGAAAAATGGATGAGATTGTCTGTTTTTTTTCTAAGTTTGAAAATAGTGTTAAGCTACATTTCACACATTTTTATTCAGTCCTTCTAAAACCTCGGTTTCTTCATTTTTAGTTTAGTTCATCATGAATATTAATATCAGCAAACAAGACCAACTGTGCAGTGATACTCCATCAGAAAGCTCTCAAAACAATCCTATTTCAGATGTAATAAATACTGAAAATACAAGTTCAGCATGCCTGAAATCACCATCGCCGACATTATTTCCAGTGCATGCATTCAACACCTTAAATTCTTTGTTATCACGATCACATTGGCAAGTACCTGTCCTACCAGATTCACAATTGGAAACTATACTATTAGCATCAATCAATATGGCTAAACATGGTTTCGTAATCATATTCATTTGTTTCTAAATATCTTTTTTTTGCAATTTTTTCAGGTGAAGATATTCATTCACAAGATTGTTTGCGATTTTATTCAGATGGTTTAATTAGTTCTTTTCAGAAAATATTTCATGATGATGCAGTTACTCGTTGGGATTCACATATCTTAGTATGTGTTCATTGATTGTTTTATGTCTACCACCGTTTCCCTTTCTTTTTCAATAAAGCATTTTATTTACGCCAATTCTTTACTGGGTATTGAATTGTGTTCCATAAAAGCAAAATCTGACTGCCTAGCAATATTAGAATTGGAAAGTATTCTGTTCGATCCTAATTCACAGTAAGTTCTTGTCTGTCTTTTTAACTACTAAAGTGAAAAGAAAAAACTCAGTGGTTTTCATATTTGGCCCTAATTCATTAGTAGTGCGATTACAAACTAATGTAACTTTGCAAGGTCGAATAAAAAAAAACCCAAAAGAATTAAATACCTGTTTTGTGGCAGTTTATGATTCGTTGTCAGTGCTCACTCACGGGATCATATCCAGGATGTTTAAGTCTCACGGTGAACACAATGCATTTATACCACGGTCAGAATCTGTATGTTCATGTTCCCAAGTCAAATTAATTCACAACCCATCACTATCATCACTGGTAATATCTGTTCTTCTTCTATCACTATTCTAATAAATTGGTCATGGTTTCTCATTAGAACTTCAGGAATCCATTTCCAATTTATTCTATGGTAACCAAGTGGTTATTTTTAAGATATGGGTTTGCCAGTAAGTCACTATCAAAAGGGTTTGTGGAAATGATTGAATTTGGAGTCAGTTGTCATTCCTGCATCCTTCTATATACGCTGCATCAGTTCAAATTGGTTTTAATAGAAGGATGCAGGAATGACAACTGACTCCAAATTGAATCATTTCCACAAACCCTTTTGATAGTGATATATATATATATATATACCACTAATCATACCGAATTTCCTTATGATTGTTTCTTCGTTTATATTTAACTACTATAATTGAGTTTTATCTTCCTGGTGTTTAGTAGCCTTAATAATGCTATATTAAGGGTTTGTATTTTATCGGTTAGTGATGCTCCATACTAGATTGAGAATTTCTTACTCAGCATAATATTCAATTTTACTTCTTCATTTCCTATTTTACCTTTCTATCTCTCTGTACACTTTTCCACCTAGGTTTCACATACGTAGTATGATTTCCATTAGTGTAACACACGAAATTCGTTATGGTGTTCATAGGAATGTTGTATGTAGATTTGAAGATATAATTAAATTATTGCCACATATCTCAATGTCAAATAAAAACGACAGTACGTGTCAACAACAACCAGGACAAATAGAAGAAGATACTAATCCCATGAAGAATAATGATCCTCTGACACTATACAATACTGTCCAAATAAAGGAATATTCTATTTCTTATGCAAATTCTAAGGATGCACCTATTTTAGTGGATTTTATCAATCTATTCGGACGATTCAATGGATTCGATCGATTGAAAGCACGTTTCCTTGAATTAGATAACAAGTACCACTGGGATCAGCAACAAAGAGATATGTTACAACAGCAGCTTCAACAACAATCCAATGATCAGACAGAATTCTTATCACTTAGTCTAATACATGCTTATCTGCATCCTTTTGCCTTATGTTCAAATTATTTAAGTGACTCAGTAATTGAAGAATATTTCAAACCAATAGTGGTAAGTTATTAAACTAAAGTCACTGAAATATTTATTTATTTATTGCCTTTATATTACTTGAATGCGTTAATGACTGGACATCAGTTGGATAACCATAGAAACTAATAGGGGAAAACGTTCTACCTGGAAATTGCTTACAAGTGCATGTTGTAAAAAAAAACTCAAAATTCCACTGACCACAATACAGTGAACAATACAAGAATATTTACAGAGAATGTCTAGTATCCTTAAGACTTTGACCTAGTAAATATGCAAGTTTTTAATGCATCGGATTCAATCTGAACAAATTTAGAACCCTCCTCAGGCGTTGTACCACAATATTGCTCTTAGATTGTTATTTATAAAGGAGACGTTTCTAGAAAAAACTCCGAAGATTCATTTTCACCTTTATTAAGATTATTTATTTTTCTTGAAAAAAGGTGAAGAAATCAGTGTAGAACAATTCCTAAAAAATTTCATTCAGATTATTATTCAAGGTATTGGTCAGTGTGTGGATGTTATCACTAATTACTGATACGGCCAAGAGTGGGGAGAGTCCGCTCTTCCTCTCCAAATGCTCTCACAGGGCCACGTGCATACAACCACTACCAGGGAAGTCTTACTCATTGCCTTCTCATGATGGGGCTGTTGTTTACGACATTGAGAGGACGAAAAGCGAATGTACAGCGCTTTAACCGGGTTAGTGGATACGGAGGATCAGACCTTTAGGTCAAAGGCTCGGGTTGTGGCCTCTTAAGAAATCCACCTGCTCCGGTTTGAGCACCCGGACAGTATCATAACCCTCACATAAACTGAGTGGTTTATGTATCGCATATCTATTTGGTGTCTCCTTGTACCAATGCTGATGTGTTTAAATAAAGTAGAAAAATGGATTTGGATTATTTTTACCCCTTTGATTACTTATTATTATTCTTATTATTATTATTGAAATTTTTATTTAACAGACTATTATTGTCAATTATTTATCTCATTTAACTGATGATCAAATTAAACGTGAAACTAAAAAGGAAATGCGTAAAGATGATTTTATCACTAGTTTGAAACTGTCTTTATGTACATTAGTAAAACGTATTCCATCATCAACAGAAGATGATATTGAAACAATTGAATTACTCAGTCTTAATTTAATCTATCGTTTCCTTCAGGTAAGTTGATTAAGTCGGTGTTGTTTAATATAAAGTTTTTTAAAGTTAACTATTGTTTACTTAATAAAGAAAATATTAATCATAATTATTACAAGGTATGTAGTAGATAAGAAATATTTTGATCTTTCTATTATTAATGCCTATCAAATACAGCACATCTATTAAGTGATATGACAAGCAGTGTATTTCACTTGATATTAATTCATAAGATGTTTACAACTGTAAAATCATACGTACCTTAGTTGTATCAATTTAACTGGTCTTGTGAAGGTCTCACATAACTTGGAGGTAATATCCATCGCGAGATGGTATCGAATGAAAGAAAGCTATGGAAATAAAAGATGGTACTATACTAAAAACCAACTAAAATCTAAAATGTGGTTGATTACATTTTAGCTATACTATACAATCCCTACGACAACCCAAGGTTCTGTTTTTAAATTGCTGCTATGGTGGTGATTGCATATTGCTGCGTCACTATTTGCCCAGTATATGCACATTTTCTCCCTCATTCTGACCGTCCGCTCACTGTCTGGATAATTGCTGATAAACTGAATTAGAAAAACTCGTCTATGCGCACAATTCCAGCAAAATGTGAAACATCGAACCATTTGAAGAATATGGCTTTTTAAGGATCTCCATGGGTTATTATGAGGAATGGAGACAAAGATGTAGTCAAGTATTTCGGCATAAATGAAGAGTGTTTTGAGATTCATAAGGACTGATGTACCTTGGATGTTGTGAAATAAGTTATATCTTTACAAAATATGTATATAATCGTTTTTTCTCCTTCTCTCTCTCACCCTACATGATAAATTATTACCATAAAATGTTTCCGCATATTTTTGTAGGAAAAGAATTACATTAATTAAAAGAAAGCTTTTACACATACTCAGTGTTCTCTACCGAGTTTCTCGTGAATCTAAATTGAGATTAATAGCGTAGGTCAACACTACTCTAAATTGTTTACCACATATATTCGTAGGAAATAAACATCTGTGCCAATGACTGCAACCTTTGATTGTATATTTTTGGAAAATTCATGCCAGAGTATAACTAGTTTTCGGCGATTCCGTTGCTAATATCAGTTTGAAATGAAGATTATTCTTTGGAACTCTCATGACCTGAGGTTTGATTGGTTCGGTCATTGTTATGTTCCTAACGCTCAGTCAATTAGCTATTCAGTGGGAGAAAACATGTGATCTGTCTGACTTTGACCAACATATCAAGAAAATACTAAGCTTCCATAAAATCCTGTAACTTCGTGGTGATTGTGTATTCGCTAATGACTAGCGTCCAATTTAGTGTCATTGAACTATAGAAATATTGAAGGGTTGAATTGTTTACACACCCACCGTTCTCAGATTATCACTTTCATTTAAAACTCATTGTTCAGTTGTTAGAATTTGCAAGAGTGTCACTCACGAAAGGACAAAAAGAAATACTTCCGCTTATCAGAAGTTCTCACTGAATATATTATATAGTAGTATATACATTCAAGAGGGCTTAGTCCAGAAAGTGCTTAAAAAAATTTCATAGTAGGTATGACATGTTTTAATCGTTGAATAACCAAACGTTTGAAAGTTTTGTATACTTACTGTTTAATGGTAATTATTTGATTCATGTTAAAACAAAAAGGAAATTATTCTACTTTTACAGCTATCTTCTTTCAATGGGAAAATGAACACACTGAACGAATTAATTCGTTTATTACCTAATACTAATCCATTACGAGTTGGTCAGTGGATTACAGATATTAAGGTAAATTATTATTTAAGTGGTTATTATGTTGGAGAAATGAGTTGTATGATCATATTTCAGTTACTACATCTACTAATCTGGGATTTACCCAGACAATTTTATCTAGCTGTGTTAATAGAGTATGCTAATTTGAACTGATGTGCAGATTTGCCAAGTCCTACGTTACGTATGACTAATTGATTGATTTCAGTTATCACATTTCATTGGTTCATGTAGGCACTTGGACAAAAGTATAGTATAGAGGCTAAGTTAAGTAATTCTTAAAATAACCGCCTAGTTTTAAAACGGGATCAGTACAAGTAACTCTATCCACATGCCCCCAAATGCCCTGGTACGGCCGAGAGTTGGGAGAGTCTGCTCTCCCTCTCGAAATGCTCTCACATGGCCATGCGTATATAGCCTCTGCCAGGGAAGTCCTACTCACTGCCTTCTTGTGGCGCGGGTGTTGTTTACAAAAATGAGAGGACGAAAAGCGAATGTCCGGCGCTTTAACCGGATCCCAAACCAATGGTGCACATGGGCTCCAGTATCCTGCGGGAACAAATGGCGTATGAACCAATCGTTGGTCACCGGCTACCATGGGACTGCATCTCCTCACGATGCTCCACTGCCTTGTGGGTCAGACGTTCAGGCCGAAGGCTCGGAGTGTGGCCCCTTAAGGAAACCACCTGCTTCGGTTTGGGCACCCGGGCAGTATCACAGCCCTCACACAAATCAATTGAGATTTGTGTGGCGCATATGTATTTGGTGCCTCCCTGTACCTATACTTATGTGTTAAAATAAATAAATAAATAAATAAATACTCTATCCACATATAAACTTTCATCCTCCAAGGAAAGATCTTATGTTAAAAATTCAAACCACCTTGTGAATTGAAGGGATATATGTTTTATGTGTGCCACATGGCGCAACCTGGATAAATGTGCTAAATTTTTCAGCTTCACCCTACAACAAAGATTAGACTACATGGGTGGTAACGTTTGTGTTTTCGGTATCTGAAAGGTGGATATGTTAATGATAACTAAGCTGTATGGATGTAAAACTCATCCTCTGTTGAATGTTGATAATGGCGATATCAATCAAAGTGAGGTCAATTATTGAGTAACGCCAATCAACTGCAATACATTTGAAAGCTTAGGCTCATTTTCTTCGTCCTACTCCTCTACATCTATACAGATATTAATCCATTTTCTCTTCACCTGAGTGGGAAGGCGCTTGGCCTGTTTCGAATATAGGTTCAATTATACCATAGCATTTCTGTTTCAATAAGCTTTCCAAGAAACTGGTCATTTCATTCAAATCATCGTTAGTCCACTGAACATTCCTTTTATCGCTTCAAATATTTTTGAACAATCGTATGTGGCCTTCCCAACCTCTCGTTGAGAATCTCTCATGTCTATGCGCACAAATTTTGGATTTTGTCAAGAACTCACACTTAATTGCACGTGCTGCTGGACCAGTGTAATATCTTACTATGCAAGTAAATTCCGCTTCATCTGTTAATCCATTTGGCAATAACTTCTCTAGTTCTCGAATAAACTCACAATAGTTTGCATGGTTACCGCTAAAGTGTTTGGCTGCTTTTTCAGGAAGTTTGAAGAACTATCTATCTTGATTAACTACTGTTGGGATGATCCAGAAAATTTCTCGCAAAAGACGTGTGAGGATCAGGAAACATTAAGAAGCATTTCATCCAATCAGCGTTCACTTGGAGTTTTAGCCAGAAACATCAAGGATGTGAAACGTCACATGTAGAGGTTCTGATTGGCTGATTGCTATACTGCTACTATGTTTAGTAGCATTCCAGAATTTTCGGGAAACCCAAGGACGTTTAAAATACTATAAAAACCCTATATTTTCTGTAGTAAAACGAACATTTGCAGTAAAGTGTTTCTCGCATATTTCGCACCTTTTTTCTCGTGTTCATGTCTCCGTGTAGTTCTAGCTTGGAGGTTATTTATTTATTTATTTGAACACATAAATATTGGCACAGGGGGGGCACCAAATATTTATGCGCCACACAAAACAATGATAATTTGAAGAGAAGGAGAAAAGAGAAAAAAAAAGTAATGAACGTGGGGAATTATAAAAAAAAGAGGGAGAGAACAATGATGGGGAAAACGGAAAGGTACAATCAGAAGAAATCTTTCAGTTAAAGAAGATACAACCACTTTTTATGAAGTAAAAGAAGGTTACAGCAGGATCGCCACTGGCCTCTATTCTGAGCCATATCTGATAACGTCTCTAGCCACTGCGTTACACCGTCTCTCAGACCTCAACCAGGGAGTCGTGAAGGACCAACAGAAGCTAGCCCTTTGCAGCTTTCTTTCATACCACGACAACATGTCATATACTGACCACCTCTCCGCTTTTTCCAACCTGTCCCAGAGTCGGCAAATAATGCACGACGAGGAATTCTCTGGGACGACATTCGTAGAACATGTCCGAGCCACCGAAGTCAGTGTTTCAAGATGGTGACACCAATTGGATTGTCGTCTCTGTGACCAAACACACGATGCCGGACCTCTGCATTACTAACATGGTGTTGCCACTGGATGTCAGCAATCCTTCGGAGACAGCGATGATCGAACACAGAGAGTCGTCTAACATCCTCAACTCGGAGAGGCCAGGTTTCACAAACATACAGCAAAACTGCTCTCACCGTCGCGTTGTAGATCCGACCTTTTACAGCCAGACTAACATCACGAAGGCGCCAAAGGTGGCCCAGATTGGCATAAGCCGCTCTGGCTTTCACTATACGTGCATTGATCTCATCACTCACACCACCACCAGCACTTATGCAGCTACCTAGATACACGAACTTCTCGACCACTTCTATCTGCTCACCGTCCAGAGTGAGTACAGGATTAGAATCCTGTCAGTCTTGTAGAAGTACTTTGCACTTCGAAGGTGCGAAGCACATACCATACCTACGGACATTGATTGCCAACTGATTAAGTGCGGATTGCATGGCTTGAACATTCTCGCACAGTAAGACAATATCATCCGCATACTCAAGGTCGAGAAGTCTTTCTCCAGGCAACAGATCCACACCACCATTACTTACATCCATCAGAGCTGTTTCCAGAATGTCATCGATGGCAAAGTTGAAGAGGAATGGTGAGATTGGGCAACCTTGACTAACCCCACTGCTTGAATGGAACAATGGAGTGAGGTGGTTGTATGCCCTCACTCTGCCTGAGGTGTTTGTATATAGGGCTTTCAGGATGTTAATAAACTTCTCAGGCACACCCTTCTTCAATAGACAATCCCAGAGAACAGTTCTGTCCAACGAATCGAAGGCAGCCCTGATATCAAGAAACACTACGATTGTTGGCCTTTGATAAGTATGACGGTGTTCTAACATTTGGCGGAGAGTGAAGATATGATCAATACATCTTCGACCGGAACGAAAGCCAGCCTGCTCCTCACGAGTCAATCTTTCTCGGGTTCTGAACAACCTACGAATCACAACGGATGCCAATAGCTTGGACGCAATCGGAAGTAGACTTATCCCCCGATAGTTGTTACAGGAACAACGTGAACCCTTTTTAAAGATAGGGACAACTATCGACTCATTCCATGACGTCGGTGCACTCTCTAGTTCCCAGACCTTTGTAAACAACATCGTCTGTCCCTTAGTCAGAAAGTCACCACCATCTTTATAAAGAGCCGGAGGTAAGTCGTCTGGGCCCGGTGATTTGTAACGTTTCAAGAGTTGGAGTTCCTTGTGGACTTCCGCCTCATTTGGTGGATCAGTCGGCACCGGCCATGGAGGGCAGGACAGTCTGACCGATGTTGCCGGAGCAGCAGGCCAGTTGAACTGCCCTCCGAAAAATTCTGCCCATCGTCCAAGACGTCGATAGGTTAGTGATTGGCGTTCCGTCATCCTCGCAGATTGTTTCGCTCACACCAGACTTCTTGCTGCCAGTGGCTCGGATGAGTTGGAAGAGCTTCCGGTAGTTACCAGATGCAGCTACTGCTTCCAGTTCATTGGCACGCTCCGACCACCAGGCTTCTCGATCCTTACGCAAGCTTTGTCCAATTTCAGTACGTAACAGTCTTCGTTTGTGTTCAAACTAACGGTCACCCGGAGTAGACTGACGGGCCTCAATGAGTTGTAAGGAGCCTGAAGAAACCCAATGCTTGTAAGCGGGACGTTTCACGAACCCACAACTGACTTTACCCGCCATGGCGTCGTGCAATTGCAACCAATGCTCATCTATGCTTTTCGGTGGAATGGTAGCTAGCCTAGAAGCTAGCTCGGTTCGATACTTACTAGCAACAGAAGTTGAAACCGACTTGCTATTATCAATCCTTTGGTGGCGGTCACTTCGTTGGCCACTGAAAAGTAAGGTAAGATTGGCGCAGACCAGGGTGTGGTCAGATTCCAGATAGGTACTTCAAAAGGAGCGGCAGTCTTGTACACAACCGCGCCAGCGGTAGCTGATTGGTATGTGATCAATCTGAGTCCAGGCTTGAGATGCAGAGGGAGGACGCCAGGTGGCACATCTGCGATGACTATGCTGAAAGTTAGTGTTAGCCCGAAACAGGTTGTGGTCTGTGCATAGCTGCAGTAGACGTTCCCCGTTATCTGACCTGCGACCAACAAGTCCCCATCGGCCACCTAAACGACTCTCTTCTCTGCCTAGACGGCCCAGCTGAGCATTCAAGTCTTCAGCTAGTACTGCAATATCTGTCGAACGCACTTTCTGGAGAAGAACAGATAACTGGTGGTAAAATTCATCCTTGATTGCATCCGTGCTGCCATCTGTCGGAGCATAGGCGGAGATGACGAAAAGACATCGTTTCTCACGCCGATTTCTTCTCACATTGATGGAACTTTCTAATCTAACAGCACATAACCGACTGTTAGTGGGGATCCAATCAATTAGTGCTGTCTCAGCTCTAGCACTTAGTGAGACACGAACGCCAGCAAGACCAGACGAAGATGCCACTGGGTCCCCGGATAAACGCACATAAAACAAGCTTTTTGAAGCTACAGATGGAGAGCGGATTTGTGATACTTCACCTGAGTCTTGAATACGGGTCTCGGATAGACAACACATGTCAATATTAAGACTTTCCAAAGACAAAGCCAGCCCTATCTGTTGTCCGACCTGCATAAGTGTGCGGACGTTGAAGGCAGCCAGTTTGAATGGTGCACGTGGTTTCAGAAAAACTGCTTCAGTACTCATATTCTGTGGTAACATACAATTTTCAACCAGGCAGTGACTCGAGAACGTTTAGATAAAGCTGAATTTTCACCATAGGCGAGCTGCTGTCTGAGTCGAAACGGATACAAAAAGTAGAAATAGGAAATAGTAAATAAATGACGTAGTAAATAATAATAATAATAATAATAATAGTAATAATAATAATAATAATACCAGTCATTTCAATGTTAGTCGGAGAGAAACTAATATTTTCTATAAGCAGATAGTTCATCATGGTTTTAGTGTGTGGGCTGAGATACTGCCCGGGTGCCCAAACCGAAGCAGGAGCTTGGAGGTTACGAGAATAGAAAGAAAGCAATTAGTCCCTTTCATAAGTTTCGATCGAACAATAAGAATAATTTAGGAACCGAATATACCGTTCAGTTAGCAAGACTTATCAGAATAATTATGATTTCAGATACATACATGAAAGAACAAATATCCCTTATCTTACTTACCGGAGAAAAAATATTACTCTACATAATATTAAATATTAGATTGATAATAAACGATAAAACTTATGACGCAGCATAATTATATTTTTATTTGATATGAGTTGTAATGAATCTTTGTCGTTATCAACTGATTGATTAACTCACAGTTTATGTGCTTTATCAGTTGATCTATGCTGCCTAAATTTAGTCTTAAGGTAATTAGGTATTATTATTTAAAAAATGAATGAATGAAAAAACAAACATTAGTTTTAATCGACATTTCATTAATTCATACTAATAGATTTATCAAAGTATAAGTGTGAATTAAATTTTACAAAACATTACAGCTTGTATACTGTAAATAATTTTTTTATGAAGTGAACTATTTGATGTCATCTAGAGGAAATTATTTGACATTGAAGATACATGGACTGTATTTATTTATTTATTGAAACACGTAAACATTGGTACAAGGAGACACCAAATAGATATGCGCCACATAAATCATTCGATTTGTGTGAGGGTTGGGATACTGCCTGGGTGCCCAAACCGAAGCAGGTGGTTTTTTAGGAGGCCACAACCCGAGCCTTTGACCTAAAGGTTTAATCCACAAGGTAGTGGAGCAACGTCAGGAGATGCAGTATTATGGTATCCGGTTACCCAACGATTGATTCAAACGCCATTTGTTTCCTTAGGATCTTGGAGACCATGTAAACCATTGGTTTGGAATCAGGGTTTTCCAACTCCTCTAGGTGGATCCTCTATATCCACCAACCCTGTTAAAGTGCTGTACATTCGCTTTTCGTCCTCTCCATTTCGTAAACAACAGCCCCGTCACGAGAAGGCAACGAGTAGGACTTCCCTGGTAGTGGTTGTATGCACGTGGCCATGTGAGGGAGAGTTGACTCTCTCCACCCTCGGCCGTACCAGAGCACTTGATTTCATCCTATTTTAATGATTCGAATTTCTTGGAATATACATATTAAAAAATCTTCACGAAATTCCCTAACAAAATTAGTAAACATTTGCTCCACTAATCACTAACTTCTTTAAATAGATTTCTTGAACTTTCTGTGCAAGAAGATTGTAACCTGTGAAGTTAAGTGATAAAGTAACTATTTGGTGTTAATGCTATTGACCAAAAAAGAGAAGAGTTGATAGGTGGATAAATAAAACATCTGGGAACATGAAACACTATTGTGAACTCGTTACTAGTTTCACGGTATGTCTAAGGAAATGATCGTATTCTTCAAAAGGTATGTTTCTAGAAGCTTCCAACATATCAAAGCTACACATAGATTTATATATCCTTGTGTTTTGTACGTAAACTAACCTAGGAAGTAAAGCTTCTTTTCATACTTTCTGGGTTTTTTTCTTCTGTTGTGGGGCTCAAGTTCAGGAAATTCCTAGGGGAGTATTTAGCATTTAGAAAATAAGTATCAAGCGTTCAAAGTACCAAAAATATCAACACATCATCATTGATATTGGATAAATGTTTGAACATAATTCAAGTTAATTAAAGTTTAGAATATATAAACCATTGTGTGTGAAGTCAGTCTCTTGGAGTAGTGAACCTATTGGATGATCTAAAGATCTCTAAATTAGAATTAATTAACTATCTATAAGTCTCTAAATTTTTAGTTTTTAGTTCTCCAGCTAATGTCAATTAGTTGGTTAAATGTTTGTTCAAATTTTACTAAATTTCAAGAAATTTACTTAACATTAGAATTAGAAATATATATTTCTGTCATATTTAGGACATATTGTCATTCGAACAAGTAGCTAATCATTCATCTCTCGGGAAACCTGTTTCCTCTTAACACTTAGTTGCTTAGCTACAATAACCATCTTTTGTTTAATTAGCCTTGAAATCAAACTCTTGTTTCATCAAACGGTAGATTTTTCTAGAGATCTCTATTAATTTTTTCATATACCTTATCAGTGGTTTTTCTTTATTGGTATTACATATATATATACTTGAATCTAGAAAGTATATGATCTGTACAAACTTTACTTGATGTAGGTATTTACATGATCAAAGTGTGTATATTCAAAGTTTCTTGTTAATCTTTTGTTCCTATGACTACTGATTTGTTATATACTTTGTATGACTTGGTATACTTATATATCCCACAAAAAAAAAGGAAAGAACTTTTACATCACATCTATTCACATAATTAGAGGTTTATTTTTAAACAAATAGTTAATTGCTTATCTCTCTAGCTCAATGTATTTTATAAACATTTGATTTATTTTGTATAGGTGATTGCCTTAAATTATTTTGTCTGGTTAGTGTTTTTTAGCGGTTTGATTTTCTGTGGGATGGGGTCACTAACCCCATGCCAAATCCTCCTCTTTTTTCCGGGCTTGGGACTGACAGTAGCCCCAAAGGGGCTCCAGGTGGAGTTAGATTCGTCCTATGAAGCTAAGAGGTATTGATTTAATTATTAAAATATTTGACTTTCAATCGTTACGATCTGTTGGTTAAAACTCTATTTATTTTAATATTTTCAAACGGCTGGATAGTTGCTACTTACAAAAGTATTCAACTCCAATTTAAGTTGAAAATGTTGCTCTTGGTTACTAGGTTACATAAAAAAGTTCCCAATAAACGTAAACAATGTACATTTTCACTGTACCACCAAAGTTTCTTGACTTATTTGAAAAAAGTATATTCTCGCGTTCTCGCGCGAGATCGTGGATGTGCACTTCTGAGGAGTCCCACAATAGGACGAAACGACCGTTCAGTGCTTCCAGGTTTTTAAAGGTGGTCTAACATCAATCAGTTCATGATCTCAATAAAAAAAAACTTAATAATCTCCACAACCCTATACTGATAAATAATAAAAAAGTTAAGTGGTTGAATTTATCGTCGTCTAGAACTGTTATTTAATTCTTGTACACGCTGATATAATTTGACTTCTGATATAATATTCCTAAATATCCCTAACAATGTTATCATCTTTCAATATGGTGTCAAGGATTGCTTATTCAAACATATCGAATGGGCAAATTAGTCTCTTCAAACTTGATAAATTTATCACCAAGTACATAAAATTAATTTCAAACAAAATTTTATAGTAAACGGTATGTTAGTTGATGAAGTGTTCACCTTTTAGACATTTAGGGTAGATCTTCGAACTCAGCTCTGATTACTACAATATTCACAGTCGCGTATTATCATCAACCTTCACACACACACAGAGCGAGAGAAACAATCAATGGGGCTTAAATTTGAGTAGATATACAAACCTGTAAATAGTAAATGATGTTGCATTAACTAGAAACAGTAATGTTTCACATTATAAAATACTCAATATTATTCCTCAATATCTGATGTTGTTTTACCCTCTTTCTCTTCATCTACAGTTATTAAAATTATTACTTCGTGAAAATTTGCATCAATTACAATATGTGGAAAAAGTTGAAGAGATAATACGTTTTATGATTAGGAAATTATTATTAACATCAGATGATTTAGATATCATATGGGAATCACAAATTGGTAAACATGAAACTATCATTAAAAATATATTCAATATGTTAACACGTTTAGCATTGGAATTTTCAGTGAATCAATTAAATTATTTATTTAATTGTTTTAAGGTAATTTTTACTGTTCTAAATGAATTTATGAGGATTTTTTTCTTTTTTTTTTGAAAAAATTATTAATTTATTTTTCCCAAATTTTATGTAAGGACTTTAATACTTATTATTGTTTGGTTCCTCCCCCGATCATTGCTGCTACCTTGACGTGATGGTTGGGATTGCCTATTGTGATAAAATAATCGAGTTATACTGGCTGGAACAATCGTTCTTCAAGGTCTTACCATGCCAGACAGGTCGGTTAAAGAGCGATAAGACTAAAAGCAACAAACTCAAGGTCCGAAGGCAAAGTCATACTGCTGACTGTATAGAGGTGTGATGGCAATAAAGTGTTTCCTTCAAACAACCAGCATAACGGAGATGCTGCCTTCCCATAAGTAGGGGTGGGGTTAGAAAAGGTCGACCCTAAAAATGCACACCTCGCCTTATCCCACGGACATCCGTCTCCGGCGGTAAGGTCTCAACAAGTATGGAGATAGCACGAAAATTACTCATAAAAAGTTCGTGTGTGACTGACCTCAAGCAGTTGTCCCTTGGGCACTGCGGTCACATTCTCAGGTCACTATGACCACCTCTAATCCAAATTCCTATCCAGGTACCTCCAGAAGAACCCTTCCACGGTGTGTGCAACCGGGAAGTGATAACCGCCCTCATAACTCTAACAGCACTCAAGACCACTATATTCATAATCAAACTTTTCACTGACTGTTTTGTTCCTCCGATTTATATGAATGATCTACTATCAAAATTATCTTTTGATTATCTTGATGTAAATGTACAAAGTGCATAAAAAAAGTTGTTTAGTGTTTCTAGGTTTGGCGATGAATTCTTATTGTCGATTGTACTATTGAGATGTGATAGCAGTAAGGTGTTTCTGGCGAATAACTAATATCTTCATTATTACTTTCTGTCGCAAAAGAAGTGATTAGAAAGGTCCGATCCAAAAGTAGCTATTATATCACTTTACTCCACAGATTTCTGGATTTAACAGTAAGAATTCCTCTGTCACGTGTCCAGCTTGACAAAACCGTCACTAATAATCTCTTTTTAGGTTTGTTGAACAGTTATATCTTTTCACAGCGTGGGTAAATAAAAAGTTCCAAAAGCTCATTTTCTTCTAAAAGTGCTCGAATCAATGTCAAGAATACCGGTCACCAAGCAACCAATAACGCTTCTATTCTGTTCATTGTGCCAATTAACAACTTAATATTTAAAGTATATTTGTAACAAAGTCATCCAAATCGATTAGCTATACCAAATTATATCCTTTTCAATATTCATTGTAAATTGATACCTAACTCAAGTATTCTTTTGGCTTTTCTATTCATATATATATATATATATATATATATATATATATATTATAGGAAAGTTGGAAAAAAGCAACAAAACGTCAACGTGAACGTTTAATTGATTTGATCACAATGTTAGCTGAACAAGATACAGATGGTATGATGATGCAAAAAACATTAGATCTTCTGTGGGATTGGGCTATCAGTTTGAAATTTTCTACTGATTTAATGAATGCTTCACTTAAATCACATGCAAAAATTCTTAGTTGTAATAATAAGGTAAATGAGTGTTATGTTCTGCTTTTTCCCATTTTTTTTAATTATAATTTAAAAATACAATGTAAAGTTCATTGTGTGTTTGACAAAACTATCAGTGCTATTCTTTTATTTTTTTCCACCCTAATTTCAAACGGGCGATGCGGGGAGGGGTAGTATCACGTTAGATTTTTAGAGCCTTAAAATAAAGATTTTGAATAATGTGTGTACAGCAGAGCGATGGATCAATCCGACATCCCCCGATAGCCCAAGTTAGCTAGTGAGGTTTCCATCACTACCCAACCATGCCTTGGGGAGGCCTTTGGTCGGATTTTACCGCCTTAGTGACATGTTACCATAATATTTTCAGTTTAATTGTATTAATTTATTATTGTTATTGTTTTCTCATTTTCTTTAGTGATAATGATTATTTACAGGGAAAAAAGTTTCGTATTCAAATTGATCTTTACCAATCTGCTTCAGTCTTTCTTTTTCAGTAGCAAGAATGAAATGTATTATAAATCGAAGTTTGTCGTAGGATTTCAGTTTTTCTATCTTACGTTACATTCATTATTTTAACTGTTGAAATTTTTTTGTCTGGTATACAAGTTGAACGCATTTCCGATTTCGACTTTCTAGAAGGTTACCCACTAATCTATGACTAGCAAATATGAAATGTAATAAACATGTGGAAATCCGGCTGAATTTGTGATTCTAGTAGCGTTTTGTCCTATGATGGTTTTGTCGTGGGGTTTTCATCACCACAAACGTCCGGTTCAAGTGAAGTATTCGAATTACTTCACATATGACATAGAGCTTGTCCTGTTGATCTTGATACTGATTGGTTATTGTTGACCTTTAACCTGTCGTTTTCTACCTCTTTGTTTTGATTGTATTTCCCTTTGATCTGCTTGTCGGTGCTATATTTGCACATGATTTTCCTGAGTGATTGATAAATTGAATCGACTTCTATGTGTTTGTTGATCGCTCATTGAACTGAGTGTCAAGCATCTGCAAAATACTCAGGTGTTTTTCATATTTGTTCTATCCGGGATTTCAACATTTTTTTTTATTCAAATGTGTGTCCATGATTGTTTATGAACATCAATGCAAGCGAAGATATATCATGGCGTCTGATCGCTAATCGATGTTCATTCAGGTGAGGGTGATGAAGGGATCTACTTTGTCCTTTGTAGTGTTTTTTTGCAATTAGAGCAGTTTATATATTTATATTTGTCTACAAGATAAAAAATAATAACCAATCAAGATCAAGGTCGACAGAACGGTATATCAGTCATATATGGATGAATGATGCTGATCAGAAGATAATGAAAGCTTGATCATTAAATCATCCCGTTCAGGAAACGCAATTCCACCAAAAGATGTTTTTTTTACATTTTACCTGATAAAAATTATCATACTTTTTCTCATTATGTCCATCTATTTTGTTTCGTCAGCCATTCGTATGTCAACTTCGGAGTGCTTGGCTTGGGAAGCTTGCGAGTTTTTTGAAAATCGAACCAAACAACGATGAAGGTTGTTTATTACCTGCTGCAAAACAATTCATTGAAATCGCCAACCTTTACCATACGGTAATTTTATCGCTCTAATCAGTTATTTGGTTTGATTATATACTTTACCCCCCCCCGTTTCAATAATTTTTCTTTTATAGAAAGCGACTAGTTGCATGAAGAATAGATATTCAACGTTTTTTTAACATATAACTTGATTACATTAAAACTGCTAGTTGTCAACCTGTTCAACCGACCAAGGTAGTACATTACATCCGAAAACGCTGAATATGACAAAAGCAAGATACACTGTTTATCGTTCTTATCTGCCAATTATAGATAAATGGATTTCTATTCCTGTCCCACTTATCCGGTATTTCGCGCTCAACCTAACTGTAATTAGTTATCCTTAGAGCTACTGGTGTAAAACACAACAATAGGCAGGAGAAATGTATATTTATTGAGAGAAGTTACAAAATATTTACGTAATACATATACATGGCCTTCAATCATCTTTTTGTATCTTTTGGTGTGTTCTTCAATCTGAACTGTTTTCTCGTCTGATTTCCAAATTGGGAATAACTTAAGAATAGTAAATCGTATAATAGCAGTCCATAGGTCAAATGGAAGCTTAAAATGAGTGAAATATGAATACACATATAACATAGTTACTTAATAGTTATACCATATATATATATGACACACCTGGTACCTCTCATAGAGAAGCATAGGCCGCCTATCAGCATTCTCCATCGAACTCGAGGATCCTAAATTCTCCAGTTGACTATTACATACCTTCAAACCCAATTAGCAGGAATCCAAATCTTCCACATTTCTAACGTCGGTCAATAATATGATATGGTACAGTGATCGTTTAGTGCCATTAGTGATAACTGTAGCTGTCTCAGTGTCTACGTGGTTAAACTACCACTAAACCTAAAGTTTGGAGCTTCGATCTCGTGCCCCTTTTTAGATAATTTCAAACCAACTTCAAGTTGAATTACTAGTGTTGACGCTTTGTACAGATTGTTGAACTTCGTAGTTTACAACACGAACTGACTCTAGTTAGACTAATATTTTGAATCAGGAGGCATCGAATACGTCTGTGAAAGACCTGAAAGTCCTGAGTTTGACCTAATGTATGGTTGCTGAGTATGGATCGCTGTGGAGTCCCATACAAAAATGAATCAGTAATTCAGTTCATCATGTAATCAATCGACTTCAAATGGAATTATTCTTTGTAAACCACCTAACAATTAGCTTAATCGTTCCCCTATATTACGAATTGTGTTTTCTTCTTCAACTATTACTCTTATGTAATATGTTGCCAGTTGTCTATTTAATTGAAAGAAACTATTCATTCATCTTAAGAATCGATAATTCTTATTGTACAGCTCGTTGAATATAACTAACAATATTTCATTTTTTTCTACAACTTCTTTTCTTTTGCTAAATTCTGAACTTGTGTGTTATGTTTTCCTAACTCGGAATCTTTTCAAATTAATTTTAATATTTAACTTGATTGAAAATCTAACATTTATAAACTTTGTTAACAAGAAACTCACTAGTAAGTTTGTGTGGTCTATTTAAAAAATAAGGGCGGAATACCTTTATGTCGACAGCATAGAACTGTATTATGATTAAAAGGATTAATCGTAAAGAAATATATTCCTTTGCATAAATTCTACTTTTGAGTATTCGAAGTTATTTACAAGTCGATGGTAGTCTAGTTCTTTCTTGGTGAAATATTCAGCAGAAGAGTGAAATTAATTCCGCGTCAACTGGAGAATCATTAAAGTTAAACGATAGACCACAGAGTTCCAACTAATTAGTCTCATTAGCCCATATGGTCTGGTGTGTGACGAAATTTCAGCACGGATATAGAAGGCTCGACTAGCTTTTACCAACTTGCGTCATTTATGGCGTAGGCGAGATATCCGTCTACCAAACAAAGAACGTGTTTACTGCGCAGCAGTTCTTACTGTCCTACTTTACGGCCGTGAAACATGGCCGGTGAGAGTAGAGGATATTCGTAGGTTACTAATATTCGATCATAGGTGTCTTCGAAACATTTCTCGTATATCCTGGGACCACCGAGTAAGTAACTCAGTTGTTAGGAAACGGGTACTAGGTAAGGATGGTAAATCAATTGATCAAGTTTTGCAACTTCATCAGTTGAGATGACCATAATGTTTCCGATTATTGTTTATACTCTTACTAACTCTACCACTATGGGATTTAAATCGACAACTGCATCTCTGTGCTAATGTGGTATGGCAACTCGAACTGATGTATGTACGTACGAAGTTCTACGTTGTTACTAACTGAGTGACTGACTGACTACTAGTCAAGTGGAAGTTTAGAAATAGGAGAATATAAAAATACAACAGATTAATACTTTTATTCATTATATCATCAAAATTATAAATAGTAATCCTTCTTATCATAAAATCACTCTACTTGACCCATATTTATTCTGATCATGGATCTTAAAATCTCCCTTAACATATACGCAGATTCAAGTTAACATTCTATATGAGTCATATCAAACATTAACAGTTTTATTGTATTTTGTTTATCACAATCCTAAATTCACATGCTTTAAACGATGTACTTTACCCTTAACTTGGCCATTTTTCGGATTATTAATTTGGATATTTAATTGTAGAACCTGAAGAGAATTTATCGAAAAGAATATTCTTCATTCAAATACTAGTCTTTTACTATGTATTCATTTTCGATTTAATATTGTTTACTCTTTTTACATGTATTGTTAGATTGTCAGCTTGTTTCCTAAAAAGTTCCAACGTAAATCACTAGTCCTTAACTCATCCATTCTCTCCATATTTTTGTTGTCAAATCATTACAGTTAGCTTTTGTCTTTATCGATTGAAACCTCAAAAAATATTCATTTATTCCGCAGTCATTTACATTTATTGTTAGTCTGCATAAGTGTGTATGTGTATGTATGTTTATCCAAATTGATATCAGTACTGTCTGTAGTGTGTATGTATATGTGTGAAAAGTTCTCATGTTATCTCAACTGTACTTTCGAGGACAAGATAGCACTAATAGTTTTAGTATCTCAGTCAAATTATTAAAAGAGATTATTTATTTATTTATTTATTTGAACTCATAAACAATGGTACAAGGGTGCACCAAAAATATCTGTACACAACACATTGACAATGAAGTTGGGAAAAGACAGAGAATGGGTATGTATAATAAAAAGAAGAGCAGTAATAAGCAGAAATTAGTGTATGGGTGAAATACTAGGAATAATAATAATGGGAGAAGCAGTTAAGCTTGGAGAAATACAACCCGAAAGAGTTCTTCCAGTTAAAGAGCTTGCGTTCATTGTTTATGAAGAAAGTTACAGCAGGATCGCCACTGGCCTCTATTCTGAGCCATATCTTATAACTTCTCTAGCCACTATGTTGCACCATCTCTAGAACCCTAACCAGGGAATCATGAAGGGCTAACACAAGCCAGCCCTTTGCAGCTTTCTTTCATACCACGACACCATGTCATACACTGACCACCTCTCCGCATTTTCCAACGGGACCCAGTGTCAGCAAATAATGCACGACGTGGATTTGTCTAGGATGACATTCGTAGAACATGTCCAAGCCACCGAAGTCGGTGTTTCAAGATGGTGACACCAATTGTATTGTCGTCTTTGTGCCCGAACACAGGATGCCGAACCTCTGCATTACTAACATGGTGTTGCCACTGGATGTCAGCAATCCTTCGGAGACAGCGATGATCGAACACAGAGTCGTCTAACATCCTCAACTCGAAGAGGCCAGGTTTCACAAGCATAGCGCGAAACTGCTCTCACCGACGCGTTGTAGATCCGACCTTTTACAGCGAGACTGACATCACGAAGGCGCCAAAGATGGCCCAGATTGGCATAAGCCGCTCTGGCTTTCACTATACGTGCATTGATCCCATCACTCACACCACCACCAGCACTTATGCAGCTACCCAGATACACGAACTTCTCGACTGCTTCTATCTGCTCACCGTCCAGAGTGAGTACAGGATTAGAATCCTGCCAGTCTTGTAGAAGTACTTTGCATTTTGAAGGTACAAAGCACATGCCATACCTGTTTCCAGAATGTCATCGATGGCCAAGTTGAAGAGGAATGGTGAGATTGGGCAACCTTGACTAACCCCACTGCTTGAATGGAACAATGGAGTGAGGTGGTTGTATGCCCTCACTCTGCCTGAGGTGTTTGTATATAGGGCTTTCAGGATGTTAATAAACTTCTCAGGCACACCCTTCTTCAATAGACAATCCCAGAGAACAGTTCTGTCCAACGAATCGAAGGCAGCCCTGATATCAAGAAACACTACGATTGTTGGCCTTTGATAAGTATGACGGTGTTCTAACATTTGGCGGAGAGTGAAGATATGATCAATACATCTTCGACCGGAACGAAAGCCAGCCTGCTCCTCACGAGTCAATCTTTCTCGGGTTTTGAACAATCTACGAAGTATGACGGAAGCCAATAGTTTGGACGCAATCGGAAGTAGACTTATCCCCCGATAGTTGTTACAGGAACAACGTGAACCCTTTTTAAAGATAGGGACAACTATCGACTCATTCCACGATGTTGGAACACTCTCTAACTCCCAAACATTTGTAAACAACACAGTCAGTTCCTTAACCAGGCCGTCACCATCTTTAAAAAGGACCGTAGGTAAGTATTTTGGACCCGGTAATTTGTAGCGCTTCAAGAGTTGGAGTTCGTTGTGGACTTTCGCCTCATTTGGTAGACCAGTCGTCACGGGCCATGAAAGGCGGGACAGTCTGGTCGATGTTGCCGGGGCAGCAGACCAGTTGAACCGCTCCTTGAAAAACTGCCCGTCGTCCAAGACGTCGATAGGTGTTAGTGAGTAACATCCCGCCACCACAGATTGTTTCGCTTACACCAGACTTCTTGCTGCCAGTGGCTCGGATGAGTTGGAAGAGCTTCCGGTAGTTACCAGATGCAGCTACTGCTTCCAGTTCATTGGCACGCTCCGACCACCAGGCTTCTCGATCCTTACGCAAGCTTTGTCCAATTTCAGTACGTAACAGTCTTCGTTTGTGTTTAAACTAACGGTCACCCGGAGTAGACTGACGGGCCTCAATGAGTTGTAAGGAGCCTGAAGAAACCCAATGCTTGTAAGCGGGACGTTTCACGAACCCACAACTGACTTTACCCGCCATGGCGTCGTGCAATTGCAACCAATGCTCATCTATGCTTTTCGGTGGAATGGTAGCTAGCCTAGAAGCTAGCTCGGTTCGATACTTACTAGCAACAGAAGTTGAAACCGACTTGCTATTATCAATCCTTTGGTGGCGGTCACTTCGTTGGCCACTGAAAAGTAAGGTAAGATTGGCGCAGACCAGGGTGTGGTCAGATTCCAGATAGGTACTTCAAAAGGAGCGGCAGTCTTGTACACAACCGCGCCAGCGGTAGCTGATCGCGATGTGATCAATCTGAGTCCAGGCTTGAGATGCAGAGGGAGGACGCCAGGTAGTACATCGGCGATGTCTGTGCTGATAGTTAGTGCTAGCCAGGAGCAGGTCGTAGTCTTCTCACAGTTGTAGTAGATGTTCACCGTTATCTGACCTGCAACCAACAAGGCCCCATCAGCCACCTAGGCGACTCTTTTGTGCCTAGACGCCCCAGCTGAGCTGAACAGATAACTGGTGGTAAAATTCATCCTTGATTGCATCCGGGCTGCCATCTGTCGGAGCATAGGCGGAGATGACGAGAAGACATCGTTTCTCACGCCGATTTCTTCTCACATTGATGGAACTTTCTAATCTAACAGCACATAACCGACTGTTAGTGGGGATCCAATCAATTAGTGCTGTCTCAGCTCTAGCACTTAGTGAGACACGAACGCCAGCAAGGCCAGACGAAGATGCCACAGGGTTCCTGGATAAACAAGCTACAGGTGGAGGGCGCATTTGTAGTACATCATTAGAATCTTGAATACCAGTCTCAGATAGACGATATACATGTATATTAAGACTCTCTGAAGACACGGCCAACCCTATCTGTTGTTCGATCTGCATAAGTGTGCGAACGTTGAAGGAGGTCAGTTTGGGTGAGATACGTGGTTACAGAAATCCTGTTTCAGTATTCGTATTCTGTGGTAGCATTCAACTTTCGACCAGTGATTTGAGATCTTTTAGATAGTTTCCACCATGGGTAAGCTGCTATATAATTTGAAAAATAAAAGAACAAAAGGGAGCAGACAAGTGACGCAACATAAAATACAAACAAATGTTACGAAACTATTGTGAATATAATTTGTCAGAATGCAAATTAAAGCGAGAATAATTTTTTACAGTTGTAATCATTATACGATTTTTGTGTGGGCTGGAATACTTCCTGGGCACCCAAACCGAAACAGGTGTCTTTCTTGGGGGAGTACTTCCCGAGCCTTTGACCTAAAGGTCTAATCCACAAGATTGTAGCAACGTTAGAATATGTAGTTCCGTGTTAGCTGGTGACCGACAATAGGTTTGTATGCCGTTTGTTCCCTCAGAATTCTGGAGCCCATATGTACCATTGGTTTGGAACCAGGGTTTTCTATTCTTAGGGTTGATCCTCCGTACGGAAAGAAGGAGAATAAAGGCGGACAATTTTTTTCAGGCTTATGGGTTCACTTAATTTTACGTAACTAATTAAGGTGGATGGTCGGGATCTGACTTATTTGTTTAGTTTCGTCAAATCTAAACAAGATACGTTCCGAATATTTAAATATAGCTTCAAAGCGATATACATATATATTTTCAGTATTCAAGTTTGTTTAATTCATATTGATATCTAGGTAACCTACGCTTGTGAAGTCAAAGTTTATATGGTCAAGTTATCCGCGAAACTGTTTGAAAATCTTGATAAACTAGTAATTGCCATAATAGACTATCATGTAATTCGATTTAATCGATTGGGTTGTGACATAACATGATAGTGATTTCCAGTTTCTATTTTCAATTCCCACCTAATGCCACACATTGTTGTGGTCCATGTAAAAATGTACTCGCTCAACAATTTTTGAGCTATAACACTTCAAACAATCTAAATTCATGTATCTATCTTTTACATCTAACTCGGCTATTTGTATCAACCTAATCATCCCTGTAAATCAATATACATTCTGTAATTAATTTCAGAATTAAACATTAATTATGTAAAAAATTTGTTGGAAAACAAGTTAACATCGAACAGCTGTTTTTAATCACAATTAGTGATACATTATCAATCGGGCACAGGTGAGTTATTTTCAGACCACACTGAATCGGTATCGGTCCAATGGTTCATCATATCTGTTACCTTCAATTATTTCACGGCTAATAAGGATTATCTTCTTAGTTTTTTTTTATTGTTCCATTACACTCTTGTATTCTCTCCTCATTTTATACCATCTATAAATGAAGTGTCTAAATGCATTTCAGGGTTCATCAAATGAAAATACTTTAATTCAAAGTATAAATCAACGACACAATGTTTTAAAAGCAGCTGTAGATTGTATCATACAAACAATGTGGTCAGTACATGAAGAACGTTTAAATGTAATAATAAAAAGTAAGTTGTGTATTATATTATATTACACTTTACTATATTTCATCACGATAAGGAGTGTTCATACTTATATCTATATCTATTATTAAATATAGGTAAACTGATTTACCACATGTGAATTTAGGTGATTAGCTTCAAGCCACACTGCGTGATAAATATTCGTGATACTAGTCATTTGATCATACTGAAGTGAGTGAGGTAGTGTTCGGTCGTAACACTAATTATCTAGAAGTCGAATGTTTCAACCATTGAGCCACCGCTTCACTGATTAGTTAAACTATCAAGATACAAGTTAATTTATAGGTCAGAATTGTACTCAGTCGATATTCATAAGCAAAACAAAAATATATATTATAGTGATGTATTCATTATTACTACAAAGTCTTTTTGTTGAGGACATTAGATCCTCAGAACTCACCTGGGAAAGGATCTAATTTTGTAATTTTATTTAGAAAATTTGAATTTCTTTGTTTTCGCGCCAAAAGCGCTCTTGTCACCTTCATGTCGTATTTCCCAGTCGGGAAATATCTTAAATGTTATTGTTCCGTTGCGACTTTTAGTATGCTATTTGGTAACTCTCCCCAAGGACGGTTTTGTGCTGTATATATACGTTTTGATTTGTGTTTGTTGTTATCGCTTGTTTCTGGTTGTTTGCAGAATAGACTTCCCCATTTCAAGCTTAGACTTCTTCCTCTAGTTAGCGAGGCTGGGATGCGTCAGAATATCTAGCTTATTGGTTTTCGGTCACAAGTCTTTGTTCCCGTTCGCATATTAAGTGAACTCGTAATAACTTCAAACCTAGCAAATTTGGTGACGGTGGTTTCGGAAATATGGATCCTTCTGAACTTGAATTAACACTCTCTCAGCAGCTGACACGACTATGATTCAGAGTGGTGGTACTAGTCGATCTGGAGTACGAGTAGTGCAACAGATACCTAATCAGAATAAATGTGCCCCTGCTACACCCAGTCCATCCCACTCTAGCTCAGTTCGATAGACCAAAACGAACCCCTTCCCTGAGGATCTAATGTCCCTAACATTTTGTATTGTGTTGGTCATTGTTTTGTCTGGGGAACTGATCATCAGTGAGAATTCATATTACAAGTTTCTGATCTCACATATAAAATACAACGTTTAGCTGTCTTGTTTCAGAGAGGCAATGAAGCGGCATATCTTTGTTTTGAATGTTGGAATTTCATATCCACTTTTTTTATAAAAAAAACTGTTGAAACTTTATGATGACCTCGGAGATGATTAGTCCCAACTGATGCATTGAGATTGAACATATTAACATACAAATCTTTAGTCAAGTTATGGAGTACCGATATAAGGTCACCTCTCATTCTACAATAAGAGAAAAAATTGTCAGAGTTTTATTTACTCGTTTCAAAAGAGATAGATAAATGGCTCACACATTCGACACAATCAAGTGTGTTGGCATCCCTAATTATTTATTTTTTTATTTGAACACATAAATATTTGTACAAGAGGGCACCAGATATATATGCGCCACACAAAACAATGAGAATTTAAAGAAAAGGGAAAAAAAGAAAGAAGGGTAGGGAGCGCAAAAAAAAATAACGATTACGCACAGATTAGTGTAAGGTCGTGTAATGGTAGTAATAATGCGGGAAACGAAAAGATACAATCAGGAGAAATCTTTCAGTTAAGGAAGATACAACCACTCTTTACGAAGGAAGTAAAAGAAGGTTATGCCAGGATCGCCACTGGCCTCTATTCTGAGCCATATCTGATAACTTCTCTAGCCACTATGTTGCACCATCTCTAGAACCCTAACCAGGGAATCATGAAGGGCTAACACAAGCCAGCCCTTTGCAGCTTTCTTTCATACCACGACACCATGTCATACACTGACCACCTCTCCGCATTTTCCAACGGGACCCAGTGTCAGCAAATAATGCACGACGTGGATTTGTCTAGGATGACATTCGTAGAACATGTCCAAGCCACCGAAGTCGGTGTTTCAAGATGGTGACACCAATTGGATTGTCGTCTTTGTGCCCGAACACAGGATGCTGAACCTCTGCATTACTAACATGGTGTTGCCACTGGATGTCAGCAATCCTTCGGAGACAGCGATGATCGAACACAGAGTCGTCTAACATCCTCAACTCGAAGAGGCCAGGTTTCACAAGCATAGCGCGAAACTGCTCTCACCGACGCGTTGTAGATCCGACCTTTTACAGCGAGACTGACATCACGAAGGCGCCAAAGATGGCCCAGATTGGCATAAGCCGCTCTGGCTTTCACTATACGTGCATTGATCCCATCACTCACACCACCACCAGCACTTATGCAGCTACCCAGATACACGAACTTCTCGACTGCTTCTATCTGCTCACCGTCCAGAGTGAGTACAGGATTAGAATCCTGCCAGTCTTGTAGAAGTACTTTGCATTTTGAAGGTACAAAGCACATGCCATACCTGTTTCCAGAATGTCATCGATGGCCAAGTTGAAGAGGAATGGTGAGATTGGGCAACCTTGACTAACCCCACTGCTTGAATGGAACAATGGAGTGAGGTGGTTGTATGCCCTCACTCTGCCTGAGGTGTTTGTATATAGGGCTTTCAGGATGTTAATAAACTTCTCAGGCACACCCTTCTTCAATAGACAATCCCAGAGAACAGTTCTGTCCAACGAATCGAAGGCAGCCCTGATATCAAGAAACACTACGATTGTTGGCCTTTGATAAGTATGACGGTGTTCTAACATTTGGCGGAGAGTGAAGATATGATCAATACATCTTCGACCGGAACGAAAGCCAGCCTGCTCCTCACGAGTCAATCTTTCTCGGGTTTTGAACAATCTACGAAGTATGACGGAAGCCAATAGTTTGGACGCAATCGGAAGTAGACTTATCCCCCGATAGTTGTTACAGGAACAACGTGAACCCTTTTTAAAGATAGGGACAACTATCGACTCATTCCACGATGTTGGAACACTCTCTAACTCCCAAACATTTGTAAACAACACAGTCAGTTCCTTAACCAGGCCGTCACCATCTTTAAAAAGGACCGTAGGTAAGTATTTTGGACCCGGTAATTTGTAGCGCTTCAAGAGTTGGAGTTCGTTGTGGACTTTCGCCTCATTTGGTAGACCAGTCGTCACGGGCCATGAAAGGCGGGACAGTCTGGTCGATGTTGCCGGGGCAGCAGACCAGTTGAACCGCTCCTTGAAAAACTGCCCGTCGTCCAAGACGTCGATAGGTGTTAGTGAGTAACATCCCGCCACCACAGATTGTTTCGCTTACACCAGACTTCTTGCTGCCAGTGGCTCGGATGAGTTGGAAGAGCTTCCGGTAGTTACCAGATGCAGCTACTGCTTCCAGTTCATTGGCACGCTCCGACCACCAGGCTTCTCGATCCTTACGCAAGCTTTGTCCAATTTCAGTACGTAACAGTCTTCGTTTGTGTTTAAACTAACGGTCACCCGGAGTAGACTGACGGGCCTCAATGAGTTGTAAGGAGCCTGAAGAAACCCAATGCTTGTAAGCGGGACGTTTCACGAACCCACAACTGACTTTACCCGCCATGGCGTCGTGCAATTGCAACCAATGCTCATCTATGCTTTTCGGTGGAATGGTAGCTAGCCTAGAAGCTAGCTCGGTTCGATACTTACTAGCAACAGAAGTTGAAACCGACTTGCTATTATCAATCCTTTGGTGGCGGTCACTTCGTTGGCCACTGAAAAGTAAGGTAAGATTGGCGCAGACCAGGGTGTGGTCAGATTCCAGATAGGTACTTCAAAAGGAGCGGCAGTCTTGTACACAACCGCGCCAGCGGTAGCTGATCGCGATGTGATCAATCTGAGTCCAGGCTTGAGATGCAGAGGGAGGACGCCAGGTAGTACATCGGCGATGTCTGTGCTGATAGTTAGTGCTAGCCAGGAGCAGGTCGTAGTCTTCTCACAGTTGTAGTAGATGTTCACCGTTATCTGACCTGCAACCAACAAGGCCCCATCAGCCACCTAGGCGACTCTTTTGTGCCTAGACGCCCCAGCTGAGCTGAACAGATAACTGGTGGTAAAATTCATCCTTGATTGCATCCGGGCTGCCATCTGTCGGAGCATAGGCGGAGATGACGAGAAGACATCGTTTCTCACGCCGATTTCTTCTCACATTGATGGAACTTTCTAATCTAACAGCACATAACCGACTGTTAGTGGGGATCCAATCAATTAGTGCTGTCTCAGCTCTAGCACTTAGTGAGACACGAACGCCAGCAAGGCCAGACGAAGATGCCACTGGGTCCCCGGATAAACGCACATAAAACAAGCTTTTTGAAGCTACAGATGGAGAGCGGATTTGTGGTACTTCACCTGAGTCTTGAATACGGGTCTCGGATAGACAACACACGTCAATATTAAGTCTTTCCAAAGACATAGCCAGCCCTATCTGTTGTCCGACCTGCATAAGTGTGCGGACGTTGAAGGCAGCCAGTTTGAATGGTGCACGTGGTTTCAGAAAAACTGCTTCAGTACTCGTATTCTGTGGTAACATACAATTTTCAACCAGGCAGTGACTCGAGAACGTTTAGATAGAGCCGAATTTCCACTATAGGCGAGCTGCTGTGTAAGTCTAAAAATAAGTATACACAGATTGGGAATAAAATCGAGTGAATAAATGACGCAGTAAATAATAATAATGTGAGTTGTTTGATTGTAAATCGAAGCGAGAATAGAATTTTCAGTAAATATCATCATTTTCATTTTAATTGTGTGTGGGCTGTGATACTGCCCGGTTGCCTAAACCGAAGCAGGTGGTTTTCTTAGGGGCCACACCCCGAGCCTTTGACCTGAAGGTCTAGCCCACAAGGCAGTGGAGCATCGTGAGGAGATGCAGTCCCGTAGTAGCTGGTGACGAAAAAATTGGTCCATACACCATTTGTTCCCTCAGGATACTGGAGCCCATGTGCATCATTGATTTGGAATCAGGCTAAGCGCCGGACACTCGCCTTTCGTCCTCTCATTTTCGTAAACAAC